GTAGCACGAAACCCGGGTCCAGGGTCTCCTGTCGACTACCTCCTACTACCATCTAATCTCAATACTGTGTTAAATTATAGATCTAATTCTACATAACATGTTTGTTTAGCGATAGTGATGCAGAAACACTAGACATTTAATTGTTCATAATATATAGGATTTGATGTTCAGATTATGACTGACATCATCAAATTCCAGTAATCTAGTCTACAAGTTTCTCTAGTGTTAAAGGAAAACAAATTATTATGTTAATCATAACCATCAGTAAGCATTAGGTTTCATTCAATAAGTTTCATTAAATAAATTTCAATATCCCTGTAAATCATTATCAGACTTTTAACATGATTACGTAACCTATCAAGCATTCCATGATTGTCAAAACACAAAAATGTATTCGTGATGTTTATTCCAATATTATTTTCCTCTAAACAAAAAATTATTCTTAAACCATGAAAGGCAAAACACTTTGACGTTTTGTTTTCAAACATTTATAAGTGTAGTGAATAGTGACTTACACAATCTGGATATAAAATCATTTGTAGGAATAAATGTGTATATAATTTGTTATGCATATCAATTTGATTCACGTCAATGGAGCCTTGTAGAACGAAAGAAATTTTTGCCTTATTGTTTTCCAATCAACTGCACGCAATCCTAAAATATTACATTATTAAGATATCCGACATTTTGCTACAGGGAAGACAAAATATCGAATCAACCTATAAATATCAGAATAGGGGTTTATGGAGATCATAATAGTTTTAACAGTTGAATTCACGGGTTAATCTAAGCTAGGTCACTATTGAAAATCTGTAAGTACTAGGTGGCTATTTCGTCCTAGTACGGTCATCTAGTGTTTCCAGGTTTTCAATAGCGGTCTAGCTTAGATCGATTCATGAGAATTAAACTGTTAAAACTAGAAATAATAAGTCATAAGTTAGATGAACTTTAAACACTATAAAATTAGTGAATGGCAATGTGGGACTACAAATTTACGAAAAAAATGTGGTTAGATCTTTCATCCAAAATGGCTTTTATTTTATCATCCTAGTTATCCATATAATCAAACAATTAATTTTTTGATTGAGATCATGAACCAACTGATGTTAGACCACTTTTGGAAACCTGGAAGCACTGGACGGCTGTCTCGTTCTATTGTGGGACTCCTCAGCAGTGCGTATCCACGACCCCACCTCGTGGAATTCGAACTCAAAGCCTGTCAGCTTCGCGCCAGGCGCTTAACCAACTAGACCACCGGGCCGGCCAACATCCAACGGTCTTAATGTCTAACTTCAACTAATCCACGAAATTGAGCGACACATCCACCATTGTCATCAGTGAGTTACTACCTCACAACTGACCCGGTTAAACTCCAATGGTCACTGCTTCTCACCAGAACTCCAGGACATATCTCTTGAAGCCAGTAATTATTTATTTCAATAGTTTAAATCATGAATCAATTGAAGCTAGACCACCATGAAAAACTTGGAAGCACTGGACGGCCGTTTCGTCCTAACATCAATTGATTCATCATCTCAACTATTGAAATTTCTAAAATCTCCACAAAACCCCACCTGATAATTATTTATTACTTTATTTAATGTCTTGTTAATTTGTAAGTATTCATCATTGACTAATCTAAGTCAATGTATCACTAAAATCATGAAATACAAGACAATAAGTTAGTTTGTGCTCATTTTTAACTTCTCGACATTGGAAACTCACGACTTATGTAGTGATTTAACCCGGAGTTTTTTACATTACAATTTATGTCTTTAGACATTTTTATTATATAATTATAACTTTTATATCGAAATAAAACATAAAATAGAGCTTAACTTCACTTGATATTGTTTTGCTTGTATCTTCCCATTCGTGCAGCCTGGATTCCACTGCCAGTCACAATCCATCTTTGTGTAAAATAAAGCTGTTTTACATCATAAAACATGTTTTATTTATTCAAGAATTTGATCTGCATTTTACAAATTAGAAGCTAACAAAACTTATTATTTCACTTCACGAATGAATCAATGAATATTACCCATTTCGCCTTTTTGTAATTTCATATAAATCATACTTGCCTAGATAGTGTAATTCTGTATAGTGTAAGTTTATCCTGATAGTGAATTGAGAAATTAATTATTATTGATATCATAGGTATGAAGGTTAAAGTACAGTTCTACTGTAGGAGCTGAAACTTAAAGTAATACCACCAAAAAGGTACAAGTATTTATAAACAATTGTCTACACAATATATTCAATGTCCGTTGCTCTACATCATCAGCAACAACTTACTGTGACAGAGAACAAACCAGCTTCCAGCAGAAGAGGAAATTAGGAAAAGACATTGAAAGTGGATAGGACACACACTAAGGAAATCATCAAACTGAGTCACAAAGCAAGCATTAAATTTGAATCCTGAAGGGAAAGGGAAAAGAGGTAAACCAAAGAACACATTTCGTCGAGAATGGGAAGCAGACATGGAAGGGATGAATAGGAACTGGAGAGGATAGTTCAGGACAGAGTTGGATGGAGAATGCTGGTGGACGGCCTATGCTCCTTCATGAGGGATAACAGGCGTAAGTAAGGTGGGAAGGTATTAGTAAGTTTTTACAATTCACATCACTGAATGTTCTTAGTAAAACAATCATTCGATATCAAGAAGCACTGTATAGCTGTTTTTTCCCTTCTCGGAAGTGCTCATCCTTCACTACATTGGTGATCGAATTTAGAATCTTGAGATATTTAGGTGACTTTTTGACCTCTAGACCACTGCGTTGGTTTCCATTGGTTTATATCACATAGAAAACCGTGATAATAGTCAGAATTCGTAAATACAAGGAAGGATACTAACCTAGGTTTGAATGGTAGCTTTTATCAGATTCATTGAATATTCAATGCGAATGACCATTTCATCCTTTGTCTGTGTTATCATATTTCGTAAATATTATAAGCTCAACAATGTCTTGTCTAAATTGCACACGACAATTATTGGAAATTTGACACTGGAGCAAGAAATTATTACAAGAATACAATCAATTACTCTTCCGTTCAACTGAAATTCAAACCACTTATCAATTATAGATGCTTCTTACCAAGGCTTTGTTAATGATAATCCAAACAAGTGATTACAAAACGTTATATATTCATGATGATCGTTTTCAGAATAAGACAAATGTAATTTTAGCTGCACACATTTGGCTCGATAGTTTAATGGCTATCACAAAACATGGATAAATTATGCTTTATACCATATTGCTAATAACCCTCAAAATGAGATGAAACAGTTGTGAAATGCCTATTTATTTCCAATGTCTTTTCAACTTACGTTAATCTGTAGTGTCTGTTACTATGTTAAGCCATATACTTATTCTATCTTCTGGACAGGTCAACTTATTCATTCTTCTTTAGTCACATTTTGACCTTGTTAATTATTCACTTATCAACCCTAACTGTTTTTGTATGAGCGTGTGTGTACACTTGTTATCTTATTCATCACATGTCTGAAACCTATTTTTATCTGACTATATATTGATTAACGCTTGATTAAATGGAATTGGCTCACACACCTTTTCCACTGCGTGTCCTTTTATTTCACTTCTCTCTTCTTCGCTTCATTCTCTGCAAATCTATGATTGTCTGTTCCGATCAACGAGTTTACAAAATATACGTATTCAAACGCCCATTCTCGTATTTGACTTATATAATTCTCACAGATTGAAATCATGAGTCAGTTGAAGCTAGACCACCATTGAAAACCTGGAAGCACTGGACGGCCGTCTCGTCCTAGTATGGGACTCCTCAGCAGTGCGCACCCACGATCCGCACCACGCGGGGCTCGAACCCAGGACCTACTGGCTTCGCGCGTGAGCACTTAACCATTAGACCACTGAGCCGGCATCCAACGGTGTTAATGTCTAACTTCAACTAATCCACGAAATTGCGCCACCATATACCATTGTCTTCAGTGAGCTGATATCTCACAACAGACCTGGTTGTTCTGTTATTTACAAACACAGATTAATTCGATGTTATATACGAGGATAGACGACATGTGTATCACAATAATACCAGATCCCAGGCCACTAAAAAGCTGTCAAACTACCGGAACCTATTATAAAAATATAACATCATATTACTCATAATAACCTTGTACTATCTTTTTTATTAGACTACACCCATATGTTATTTTTCAAATAAGCAAGTACAGTCAACAGGTTTAAAAGTAGAAATCATAATTTAAACAGGGATACTACCCCTAAAACAGGGTCTGAAAAGTTGGAAAATTTCACAAATGCGATATAAATGATCTTGTTGTCTAGTAATAGTATTCCGACACAAGACAATGGGTTTTAACCGTTACTTAAGCCCTAATGCTTCAGGCTGAGCTACTTCACTTACTAACCTACATATGTGTTGTATGCAATATAAGCTATATGGTTATGTAGAGCTGAAGGTCTCACATAAGACTGGAGGTTCGCCATTGGTATTTTGGATAGTTTGGCATTGCTTTGGCAAGTTCTGTTGACTGTTCATGTACAAAATTGGTTTGCTGGTTAACCGATTTCATTCATAGTGGTGGTTGCTTTACAGTGTTCTTAAGGACCATTGTTATTGGGACATTGTAAGGCATGTCACCATTGCTAACATCGATGAGTTCGACTGTCATATAAGCGGAATCGGTCAACTTTGGCCTATTCATTCTGTGCATAATTGATTCATGCGATCATTGATCGGAATAACTATACATATGACATGAATGTGTATATGAATGGTGTGAATTGTTCACCAGGTTGCTTGGTACCTGTGTGGTTGCACCACAGGATTGAACTGTTCTATTCAGATTGTAGTGTTAAAGCCTATACGATGTCTGGTTCTCCTGTATAATAATTTCCAATCCTTTTCATTTTTTATTTTCCTTTTTGTTGTTGTTTAGTATATAGATTATGATAATGAAATACAAAAACAATCTTTCTATATTGATCATCACGTAATATCAGTGATTCACAATTATTAAATACAATTCATCAAACAAATTCTAATTTAAAATATAATACAATAAAATCGTTTCATCGTTATTATAGTTTTAAAAATAAAAAAACAAAAATTTCTAATGTTTATGAACATTTACAATCAACACATTTAATTCCACATAGTTTCCATCATTATTTTCATGAACAAATTAAAAAATCTGATCCATATAGAACACAACGTAAAATTGATTTGGATCAATGTAATACAAACAATATCATTACAACTATTAATAATAATAATAATAATGCAAATCAATCGGTTAAAAAACATTTCTTACGACATTTTTCATTTATGTATCATGATAGAAAATCATCATCATCAACAACTATATCATGCTCAAATCATTCACATTTGAATATGTTACTTGGAAATAATGATAATGGAAATCTTTGTCATACAACAACAATAACAACACCATTATTGGATAATCTCCAAGGTTAGAAAGAAAATTAAGTAAACTGTAAGTTATCAGAAGGGGTTTGTGGAGATTTTTAGAAATTTTCACAGATTGAAATCATGAGTCAGTTGAAGCTAGACCACCATTGAAACCTGGAAGCACTGGACGGCCGTTTCGTCCTAGTATGAAACTCCTCCTGGAGTTCTAGTGGGAAGCCGTTACCAGTGGAGTACAACCAGGTCTGTTGTGAGATATCAGCTCACTGAAGACAATGATATATGGTGGCGCAATTTCGTGGATTAGTTGAAGTTAGACATTAACACCGTTGGATGTCGGCTCAGTGGTCTAATGGTTAAGTGCTCGCGCGCGAAGCCAGTAGGTCCTGAGTTTGGGCCCCGCGTGGTGCGGGATCGTGGGTGCGCACTGCTGAGGAGTCCCATACTAGGACGAAACGGCCGTCCAGTGCTTCCAGGTTTTCAATGGTGGTCTAGCTTCAACTGACTCAGGATTTCAATCTGTGAAAACTGTAAGTTGTATAATAGTTTTAATAGTTTTTAACTAAGGTAACATTTTTCATTAGAAGTGACCTTATGATTTTTAATTCATTTACATATAGTAGATTTATCTATCATTATTTATATTGTACAAGTGTTAATTCAATTAAATGGATATAAGTATTTCCTGTTTTTTTAATAAATAAATGTATAAATTCACTTGGTATACAAAAAGAGACAGTAATAAATCTTTCTGTACCCTAGCAACATTATCCCCCCTCACTTTTATTTTTAATTGTATTTATTACGTCATTCATCATTCCAACTCTTCCTGAAGTTTACATTACATCATACATAACTGACGGATTTTATTTCATATCTTTCTTTATTAATCTATTTCCAGTTGTTTAGTTAAACAATCATCTAATGTTTGTTGACTCCATGGGTTCTAACCACTATTTCAATGTTCTGGAACTTTCCCTCCCAAACTTTATTTATTCGAAACATAGTTTTATGACCTGATTACCTCTAATGGAATCTTCACTAGATCATGGTACATATATACATTCTTAATCACCCTCTTATGTATAAGTATGTCAATATCTGTAACAACTCTGATTTTCAAATATTTTAGGTTGTAAGCAGCTGATGAGAAATTAACGAAATAAAATGAATTCATATTATTCTGCACCAATCTTTGTTCTTGCTCTCTTTAAGATAATAAAAGGAACTATATGTATGAAATCCCTTGGTGTTGTTTACTTGTATCTTCCCATTGTTATTTAGGACTGCAACTGATCAGTGTCTTGTCGGCACATGTGCATCCTTTGCGGATTGCCTTAATATTGTCTTAAATCACAAGCTTTTTTAAGTAAAGATGGATAGTGGCTAGCTGAGGAGTCCAGGACGCGCGTTTCATCCTATTTAGGACTCATCAGCTGGATGTACCTGCACTTGTAGCTCAGTGGATAACGTGATGTCGTTTGAAGCGAACAGTACTGGGTTTAAGTCTCAGAGTGCACGTCAACTCTGAGATGCGGGAACGTTCAGCCGACGAGTTCCAAGTAGGACGAAATGTGCGTCCTGGATTATACTGCTACCCATTATCCATCTTTGTTTATAAATAAATGTATATTTATGAAACAATTAAAGTATACTTTGAGTAAACTGACAACAGTGATAACACTATAAGATAACGTCGAAATTCTTTTGAATACAAATGGAAAATTCCAAACAAAAACAGTAGAAATTATTGAAAAATTTCTTATTGTTGGCCATAAGTATTGATCATATATACTAATTTGAAAGATTGTATGAATGTTGATTATGAAACTTAAAATGAACATCATGTAGAACAAGTTTTCAATTTGACAAAATACATTTGATAAAGCAATAAACGTTATTGTATTGGTTGTTTGAATCTTCTCATTGGTGTTTGGGACTGCAATTTATCAGTGTGATATCTGGACTCAGTAGCTAAGTAGAGAACGTAATGGCGTTCGAAGCGAACAGTTCTGGGTTCAAGTCTCAGGGTGAATATCAAATTTAGGATACAGGCACATCCATCTGACTAGTCCTAAATAGGAAGAAACATGCGTCTGGAAATCTACTGCTAGCCACTATCCATCTCTGTTAATAAACATTGAATTGATGCCAATCCATTTCATTTCATATCCATAAATATAATTCAATGAGTTACATACAAAGTAGGATTTAGTTTATTCAAATTAATTCTCATATACATATATATTCGTTAATTATACCAGTCTAATTAATGTAGGAGTAGAATAAGTGATGGTGTTCATAATGTTAATAATTATATGAGATATGTGGAAATGATTGTCAATATGGTAGATCAACTTATTAGAACGACAATAATTATGAAAATCAATCATTAAATATGTGAAATATAGAATAATGACCAACTACTTGTTTAAGCATATTAATCAGGTACATGCATGTTATGTCGATAACTATTTCTGGCAAAAATAGAATAACATGTGACTGTTTAATCAGACTATTTGATATGTAAGGGGTTGATGTAACAAAATGTTGCTAACACTTATATCACTATCATCTTCATTAGTAAAGTATTATACTAGTGAACTGTGGAAACAATTACAATTTTATATAATATTTTTTTGTGGACTTTAGATGTATTAATGGTATAATCTACATATATTCTACGTAACGGACATTATGAACACCATCACTTATTCTACTCCTATATTAATTACACTAGTATAATTAACGAATGCATATATATATGAAGAACTGTAAGAGTTTCCAAATAAACTGGTATCTATGCGGCTATTCTAGACAATATATATAACCAGAAAGTATAACTATCATCGTTTTCAAGACCAAATGATATTAGATAGACAACTATCAAAAACCAGCACGTTCGTTTTTTCTAGTGCGGAAATATATAGCAATCCACATCTACAATTCTACCACATGAGATTAAATAAAAGAACTTTGGTCTTCCGAAGAATGTTTAACCTCTAGACCACTGAACCGCTATCTACATATCTAACTTCAACTAATTCACGATGGTATATTACCATTTCCCGTTATCTGTGGTAAATAATTGTCTCACAGCAGACAAGCTTACACTCCACTAGTTAAATTTTCTCACTAGAACTTCTAGAATTGATCTTCTTGTGCTTGGAACAGTTTTCTACGATGTTATACATCATCTTTATAGGTCGCTTAACATTCATTATACTTAGTCTTCTTTTAAAATGATACATTTATTTAATTATCTTCTTCTTTGCAAATGAAGTTGATATCATCACTTGTCAATAAAATAAAACAAATGAACTGAAATCACGTTTTTTGTAAAGTAACAAATATAATTCAGAAAAGTACACATCGTTTCTTAATCAAAACAAACTAATGTAGGTGGATTGGTTGAAGTTAGACATTAACACTGTTGGATGCCGGCTCAATGGTCTAGAGGTTAAGTGTTCGTGAGCGAGACCAATAGGTCCTCGATTCGAATCTCGAGAGGCGGGATCGTGGATACGCACTGCTAAAGAGTTCCACACTAGGACGAATACGGCAGTCCAGTGCTTCCAGGTTTTCCATGGTGGTCTAGCTTCAATTGACTCACGAACTCAACTATTAAATCAATGTAGGTATCATTAACAAGGTCTGACTTGATAATTTCGAACAAATTGAGCATTGGGTAGATTATTCTAAATAAAATTAATATATTTTTAATATCTAAATGAGTAGAAAAATTATATTTTCTGACGTTTCGTAACTTAATGTAAGTCACTTCTTCAAAGAATAAATAACCAAATCAAAATTAATCCAAGTTTAAATAATAAGAAAGAACAACGCATAAATATATTATGTGAGGTCAATCAGAAAACATGTTTGAACAACTAAGCATATTATACATGAAAGTGAACTATAGGTCACAGTTCTTAATGATTTCAAAGTACACAATAAAACAGAGTAAATAATGAGTTTATTTAGACATAACTCATGTTGTTTAGTAACATTTACTATCCGTTTTGTAATGATTTATTTATTTAGCAAACTTTTTTCCCTCCTTTTAAAGTACATTTCATGAGCAATTAAAATTGTGAATATGAATTTTAAGTCAGATGAGATCAATAAAATCACTTGGATCTGTTCATTTAAATAAACTGTTTTAGTTATTATTTTTTTTTGGATAGTATTTGCAATATCAAAGGGTCATGGTAAAATCATGTTGTTCCAATAACAGTTATAGGTAATTTGATTAAATGATGAGTAAGAAAAAAGTCATTTCTTCAATTATGTAACAACTAGTAAAATATTTGGTCAGTAATAAGGATTATACTTACCTACGCCTGTCACCCCTCATGGAGGAGCATAGGCCATCCACCAGTATTCTCCATCAACTCTGTCCTGAACTATCGTCTCCAGTTTTTCCCAGTTCCTACTCATCCTTTACATGTCTGCTTCCGATTCTCGACGAAATATCTTCTTTTACCTACCTCTCTTCTGTTTCCCCTTTGGATTCCAAGTTAGTGCTCACTTTGTGACACAGTTTTGTGGTTACCTCAATATATGTCCTATGTACCTCCATCGTCTTTTTTAAATTTCCTGATTAGATGGAAGCTGGTTTTTTTCTTTCACAGTAGGTTGTTGCTGATGATGTCGGGCAACGGACATTGAATATGTTACGTAGACAACTGTTTATAATCACTCGTACCTTTTTGATGAATATTGTGGTATTTCTCCAAGTTTTAACTCCATACAGTAGAACTTTCTTGACGTTCGTATTGAAGATTCTGACCTTGATATAGATTGACAGTTGTTTTGAGTTCCGTATGTTCTTCAATTGCAAAAATACTGTCCTTAATTTGCCAATCCTTCCCCTTTCTTACGTCTGCATCCGATCCTCCTTGTTCATCGACGATGCTGACCAGGTACGTGAAACTTTACACCTCTTCCAGAGTTTCTCCATCAAGTGTGATTGGACTAGTACTCTCCACCCTAATTTTCTTTTCAATCATAAATGAAACAATCTCGTTACCTTCTAAAAAGCATAACATATCATGTTTACGAATATTTGTATCATAAAGAAAGTAGCTCTTTCTTCATAAAAATAGCTTTTCAATGAAAAATGTCACAAAACCTTATAATTAGGCATTGTTTTGTAGTGTATTTGATAATCATTGTTTTAGGACGAAAGTCTTATTTAATGACTTACAAATAAAATGATTAAAATATTTAACATTTCAGATAATTAGTCTTCAACTAGCCAGAGTAACAGTTAAATAAATCATACCTCAATATAACTGTATGAACACCAGGTAATGAATAAACAACAACTACTTAAAAGTGTTTAATTTCGTATGTATATATTACCAAAATAGAAAATTATTAAACTCCTATAGTTAGAAAATCAGTATATTATACTTTGCTAACTTGCTTTCCATAACTTAACATGACTGTCAACTATGACTGCTTAACCTTGTTGCCAGGTTTTATAGTTCATTGGTTCAAGATATTTTATTGTACTACTTTTTATTTAAAGTAAGTCACCAATAGATACAAAGTAGTACTATTTATATCATATTTATCGCTTATTATTCAATCATTTACCTCAGGTCATTATTTTGATTAAATTTTTGCAATAATAATAGTAGTTCCAGCTCAGAGAACAAAACTCCATCAAAAGTAATTCCTTTCCCTTAGTGTATTCAGTTACTTTGAGAATGATTTCATAGTTTGTAAACTGTTTCACTAGGATTTAGTTATTTGAAGAAATTATCATTTCAGTTTAATTCTTACTTGAGTATTTCATGCAAATCTAATGTTACATCAAAATAACAACTGTACCATTCAGGATAATGAAAAGTTACAAATAAAGACTAACAACTTATATTAGATTAACTAAAATTCATCAAACTGCTAATCAAGAATGGTTGGTTGAATTGATAAAACAGCCCACTTTTATGTTGAATAAAACTGTTGGGTATCGAGTGAATTCTAATTCTGTTATAACTTGTGGCCTATGTGCCCTGTTAATGTATAATGTAACGATACCGCCAATTAGAGAGCAGTGAACTATCGACTGGACCAGTGGCGCGTAAAACCCGTACGAGCAGCCTAGAGTTCTGATTGGTCCTACTTTCTGCCTAGCCCAGAACACCAATCTCAACCTCTGCAATATGAATCATTTATTTCAAACATACTGGGTTTATATACCAACCAGACAGACCATAAAATAGGAAACAACATTTGTACACGAATTAGCCAAATTTGGTTGTGAATGAGGGAGGTAGTAATTAATAAACAGGACATAATTCAAGAATGGTAAAGCACATAATAATAGTTCATAAGTAAAAAACTCATAATAAGACGGACATGAATATGAACAGTTTAGTTATTTAGCAATTATACGATAAAAATATACCCATATTATTGGTCCATAAATGGATCCCAAAAGTTACCATTCATTTTTCTTATCGGTACCTAAAAATTCACAAATTATTTATCCAGTTTTCAGTGTAATTACTGATAGTCGGTGATTCTGTAAATCAGTTTATTGTTTTGTACTCTAAATTCATATATAAGTTAGAATCAATCAATAAATCATTAGTTGAAAGTCTGGACAAAATTGATTTAAGGTGCAGATTATTTTACAGTTACATAAAAGAAACAAAACCATATACTTTAAACTTTAAATGGTCTCATGAATCCATCATACATAAACTGATCTTTCTCGGTAAGATATTCTAAAGGCATTATATTACTAATTAATCGACCAAATTAGGGTTCGAATCCTGCGAACCGGGATTCAATGTTGTACACGTCTATAAATAATCAATTCTCAGCTGTTTCTTTATGCTTTTATTTTGGGCGATACATGAGATATTAAAAGCGTTAAATAATTACATTAACTGTTTACAAATTAAATTAATATGACTGATCGATTTTGTAGCATTTGGTCAAAACTATTGCAGTTATTGTTATAAACAAGCATCGAATGAAATCCAGAAAGCACTGAATAACTGTAAGGTTAAAATGGTGATTCCTTGGAAAATTGTATCTAAATTGTATCTAGGTATTTTCTCCTTTAATAATCAAGAATAAAAATAAATAGTGTCATTTTTGAATGTGTGTTGATGTCGAGATTTTTACTAGCTGTGTAGGAATGCTTAAACCACTTATCCCTAGTATTCATCTTTACTTTTGTGCGAAAACAATCATACTAAGTGACATAGATCAAAATGAGTAATTTCGTTCAGTGGTTCCCACTTTTTTCAACTTAAACTAATTCTCAGACTTCTATTTTGTTGAAACAACAAACTCATGAGTAGTAATAATTTTTCATTTAAAGCTTTTCACCTTACAATAATATCCTTTTAATATTGATTATATTTTAGAGCTATTGGTGTACGAGATAAGATAACAACACTCTGTCGTTCGGCTAGCTCAGCTGTACCTCAGTCATTTGCTACTAACATCGTCGTTTCAAACCATAGAGTATTTCTGGAAAAATTATTTCGTTCAGGTGGACCAACTAGAGAAGATGTAGAAGATTGGGCGCGTTCATTTGAAGCTGTGTTAAGGGACAAATGTAAGTAAAAAAACAAATATTTGATGAGGTTATTAAACTAAAATGTTCATAAAAAGTGGAAATAATTCAATTCTTCCATAGAAATGAGTGACGAAATTTATTGTATAAAAAATCACACAGAAAGATATTGAAGTTGAAAGAACACAGAACAAAGCCGGCAGCAAGAATTGATAGTTTCCATGATTCTCATTCCTTTAATATTGTACTTCGATTATGTTTGTCTCAAACTAATCATCACTTTGGTGTGACACTAAATCCCTGTTATTATCCTTAAGTGAATTATGTAACATGTTAGAATATTAGTTATGGCTACGGGAAATTTATAAACCATAGTTAATACTTCCATATTCGTTGAACAAGGTAGTGGCAACGTGGACTCAGTAGCTCGATTTACAACACGTTGTAGCTTCAAGTCTAAGACACATGGTTAAAGTTTTAGTTTGATAATTAATTCGGGGATGCAAGTATGTCTAACTGACAATTCCCGAATAAAAGTGGATGATTAATGTGGGTTTTAGTGCTATTGGTAATTAGAATCAAGTTAGGCACCTTAATATTCCCTAGAAATATATTACTTCCCTTCCAATTATTTACTTCAGTATTGCAAAGAGAAATACTTATTAAGATGATTGAAATATGGTTGTTCTGCTAATACTAGTCATTTAAAATTAAAAATTTGAATCACTCTGTTTAAACCCAGCGTATGAAAGATCAAGTTTTTATCAAGATTTAATATGCTTCTGGATTGTTGTATACATGAGAGTGTAAACAGACATTAGTTAACATTCACAAATACAAATGCGACTGGTATTTTGTCTTGTTCAGGTTTCATACTATTCAGTTTAGCCTAAATGGCATACAGCCCTATTTGTAATCAACAAACGGATATAAATAGTCGCTTAATTAGCACATCAAACCCCCTATTATTTTGTCATTTTAGTTTATTATGTATCTATTTTAGTAAAGGTTTTTGGAAGTGGGATGGCTAGTCATGTATCGCTTTGTTCAGTTTATTCGTGAATAATACTAAGTTCCATTCAACAAAATTGAGTGTTTTCTAAATACAAACTTAGATGGTTTGGTTTTTGAGTAATGGGAGTGTAAAACAAAACTTCATTTTATACAATACTATCTATATCAAACAAACTAAATATTCAATGCTAGATTGTAATCTTTCAAATGAATTATCATTACTGTGATATAGTAACTAACTTTCAGGAATATTGCAGTCAAACAATTACATTTCTTTAATAGTTGGATTCAAGTCAGACAACTATGGAAACCTGGAAGCATTGGACGGCTGTTACGTCCTAGTACAGGACTCTTTAACAGTGTGCATCCACGGTCTCGCCCCGCGCAATCCGAACCCAGGATCTATCAGTCCCGCGCGTGAGCGCCTAACCACTAGACAAATAAACCGGGATCCAATGGTGTTAATGTCTAACTTTAACCAATCCACGAAGTCCGAACCTCGCGAGGCGGGATCGTGGATGAGCAGTTCCGAGGAGTCCCACAATAGGACGAAATGGCCGTTCAGTGCTTCCAGGTTTTCCATGGTGGTCTAGCTTCAATTGACTCATGAATTCAACTATTATTATAACATTCACAAAACCCCTTCTCTAATTACATTTCTACTAATACATACTTGTTATTAATAAGAACTAATTAAGATCATTTTTGGCTAATTCGGCTATTACTAGCCGTGTTTTGAAACTATGATACTTGCTAATTAATAATCTCTTCTTCTCCTTCTTTATTAAGTGGACAGAAATTATTTTTTATTCTATAGATTATTAACTCTTATTACTTACAGAACTATTACATAATGTAAGCTCTTGCTCATTTTTAATTGCCTTACATACCTTACCTTTTTCCAAACTCAATACTTCCAAACTTTAATTACATAAAAACAAAGCCCCTCCATTTAGAAATTATTGTATCCAATACTTTAAATTTTTGATAATCTTGACTATATTATGCAATAACATTTGATTTTCAATGATATCTACCTAAATAAGTTTGACTATGGCAGTTTTGTTAAAATTCCTCTACTTTATTATGGACCACCATATGTAAAAAAAGCTACTTATAAATAGGATTGTGCAGCCTCAAAAGATAATATTGTGAAGATCTTCTTCTTTGAAACAATTTAATTTCTTTTAATAGATATAACAATTAAGTATTTTAAAAATGACGTCTATGACACAAAGTAATAGATGATACAAATAGCAATGATTGTTACGTTATCGTTTAGTTTATATACTTATTGTCTTCTAGGGTTTATGGTGATTTTCCTTTCTTTAAGATGGTGTCCTGGTGTTTAGGGAATTTTTACGCACAGAATTCAGTGATGAAAATATACGTTTTTGGCTTATATGTGAAGATTATCGTAATAAATCTGGTACAAAAAATATGCAACGTGAAGCATTCAAAATTTTCAATGAATTTGTAGCTGTTCAAGCTGCAAGAGAAGTAAGTTATTGATTAGTGAGTTAATTTCAAGGCATCATCATTGATGATTGTTGAAGATATTGGTTGAAATATAATTGATTTATATTTATTAACAAAAACACAGGATGGTGGCTAGAGGTAGTTGTCAGGAAACTTTATACAACTAGGTTTAATAACATTTACTATTCATCAACAAGGTGCATCTGTAATATTAGTGGATTTGATCCATTCGATTAAATCCAACAGTTTAGCTTGTTATGTAATAGAAATTAAATCGTAATGCACTACGAAGGTTTAGTATCAAACATTAAAATTCATAAATTCTAGTAAACAACACAATTCTTTATTCTTAGATTCAATTGATGAGCATTTAAAAATTGATTAACGCTTTTGTACATCAATAATATATTTATTGAAAGGTAACTATGATTATCGCTTGTTAAAAAACTGAATATGGCGAGACTCTAATTTATGGACGAGCCAATCAGAAGCGTTCGAGCAATTTCAAGGTCATGTAGCCAAGTTCAACACCTGATTTTCACATACGATCGGTTTACAGCGGAATTTAAATAAGAGCTGATTATTGAGCGGCTACAAGAGATGAGACTACTAAGAAGTTCTTGTACCTGTGACTGAGGTTATCAAATGACTGAAGTACAGTGTGCAGACTATTGTGACGAGATTGTATTTCGTTGTTCTTTATGTTGGAGAAAAAGTCTGCTCCAACGAGGACTTTCTTCTCTTGATCGCAACTGAGACTGAGGCAAATCATGATAATAGTTGCAAATTGAATAATAAAGGAACCAGTAACACTGGCTTTTTAGATGTTACTAAAACTTCAGCCGTCCAGTGGTATGATTATTGTCGTGATACATGCGCACTTAAAATGACACGCCTACACGTATCATTCGGAGGAGTCGGAAGTATTGTGGAAATAGATGAAACAGTAGTGCGAAGGCGAAAATACAACAGAGGACGTAGTATCAAGGAAGGTTGGGTAAGCAGCACTTCCGTAAATGTACTTGACAGGTACTTGGCATTTATGAACGCTCAACGCAAAAGGGGCATTTCCGAGGGTGAGAAACCGTCAAGCAAGCACAATAAAACTAATTATTAAGGAATACGTGCAGCTGGGCACTACGGTATATACAGGTGATTGGAGAGCGTATAGATACCTTCATAGACTTGGGTGTGTCCATCATGTCCTAGTGCATAAACGCCATTTTGTCGACCCTACTACCAGCGTTCATACTAACAACACTGAAGTCATGTGGTCGATAATGAAGGAATTTTTAAGACCGCACCACAGCTCCAGAGAACGATTATTGTTGAGTCATATGGACAAGTTCCTATATCGTATGCATTATGATTTCAGAACATCTGAACCCTTATCAAACCTTAACAAGTTTTTAAATCACGAAAAAGAAGAACATTCACTGTAATTCATTAGTTTCTTATAATATATTTTTACCTTATACTAACTGTCTTCTGATTGGCTAATAATTGTCAAGGTCACCTAGATTCGTTCAAGATTCGTCCATAAATTAGAGTCTCGCCCTGAATAGTTTTCGACACGTAAAAAGTTAAGTTAGTTCAAACTGTTTCTAACTATTATTATTGATGAATGATGTATTCAAACTGTAATTAGACCATTATATCATTGATGTTTCTATGATTATCCAACTTTGTATTTTCCTAATAGACTGAAATACACAATATCATAGGTGTAGACTATTAGTTGAAAATTTCGTAATGTTATCTATTTAAAGTGACAAGACCCCAAATGCCCTAGTACGGCCGAGGGTGGGGATATCTAGCCCTCCTTCTCTAAATGCTCTCACATGGCCACGCGTATACAGCCACTGACAGTGAAGTCATACTCATTGCATTCTCGTGGCACTACTGTTGTTTACGAAATCGAGAGGACGAAAAGCGAATGTCCAGCACTTTAACTGGGTTAGTGGATATAAAGAATCCACCTAGTGGAGTTGGAAAACCCTCATTCCAAACCACTGGTGCACATGGGCTCCAGGATCCTGAGATAACAAACGATGTATGAACCAACAATTAGTCACCAGGACTATATCTTCTGACGTTGCTCCATTGCCTTGTGTATTAGACCTTCGGATCAAAAGCTCCAGGTGTGGCCTCCTAAGAAAACCTCCTGCTTTGGTTTGGGCACTCGGGCACTATCACAGCTCAGACACAAATCAAGTGGCTTGTGTGTGGCGCCTCTTTGTACTAATATTTATGTGTTCAAACAAACAAACAAACTATAAACAATAATGTTCAGTTTAATCATCTAATGATAGATTTAGAGTGTGTTCAAGATAGAAACATAATTCAATCAGTTTATCTAATAATTCAGTAATATTAACACATATGCATCAGATGTTTGTATGCGAACGATCTTGTTAAAATGTTGAATAGAATTGTTTCATCAATAAATATATATATTGTACTAGTCGGTAGATGACATTTTTCAAACAATTCACATTCATCAGTTCCAGCTGTGTAAAACAAACAGGTAGAATATCAAGCTTGTTTTTTTTTAAAGTATAATTTTACCATATGTATATGATCAAAATATCTCATTCATCAAAATGTTTATCTATAAAGATATAGATAAGGATTTCTTTATGAATTTTTGTAGAATCATTCAGAACTTGAATGATTTGCCTATTTTCTTTCTTCATAACCTACATGAATTAAGTTCAATGAATTTATATTGATCATGTTAATCCTTTTAAAAAGAAGAAAAATACTGACGAATGATATTAATTAGATGATATCATATTTCTATTGAATAATATATAATAATATTTATGTAAGTTTATGTACTATAATTATCACCTCCTATAATGCTATTGAATCCATTAAAAACCATCATATTTCATAATGCCAATTTCATTTAATGGTTCATGAAATGATAAATCGCCATTTGAAAATTAATTTTTTTTTATGTCAAGTAAATATCAAAACTGAAGTTCAATTGTGAAAGGATTATTCATCTCAAGTTATATTTTCGAATTATTCAGCAATTTAACCTGAATCCATCATGACTTATCACGATTGAACTCTTTTTTATAACAAAATCGTTATTCTATCAGTGAATTCTTATGAAAAACTGTGATTAATAAAGTTGAATGATGTTGAGTATGAGATAATCATCTACTAATGATTGCTTAATATTACAGATTGATTGAAATTAGAAATTTAGAACATTGGGTGTTGATTCATTAATATGAAATTAGGCTCACATTGCTTAACTCCAACGTTCTACATTCAATCCCTGATATGGTCATCAATTCTGAAGAACCCTAAACTAAAACGGAACAGCTGAACTGTGCTTCTTGTTTATTAATGGTCATCTAACTGTGCAAATGATTCGTCAAAGTTTGCATAAGTGATTAAACTCTTGGAGCACGGAAATTAGTTTGAAGTCTTTTAAAATAATACATACTGTTCTGGAACACAATTTGTTTATTCAGTTAAGCTTAGATTAACCTAGATAATCATAGAAAATTCTGTTCCCATGACATAACTGATTATCTTATATTTTGGTATATGTGTTTAACAGGTAAATTTAGACTCTAATACGAGGCTGCAAACTGAAAAAGAACTTGAATCAGCCAACAGAAACACATTTGATCAATGTCAACGTAGAATTCAATCTTTGATGGAAAAGGATTCTTATCGCAGATTTTTACGATCAGATTTATATTTGACAGCAATGGAATTAGCAAGTTAAGAGAATGCAATGTGTCTAATAAACATGGCCGGCATTCAGTGATAGATTTCAGAGGAATTAAAAATGCATTTACTACAGTTAAACATTCTTCTGTACCACCAAGCATCATACCATCAACTATTAATTATGCAGATGGCTCTAGTAGTTCGATGACAAATCTTAACAGTAAAATTGTTTCAACCAAGATTAATGAGAAATAAGATAACCATTATAATGCTATTATATTGTTATGGATGAACCCAATCACTTCCCATGGAGTAAAATCAATTTGACCATAAAGAGTTTTGAACGACGAACTTCAAGTATACTGATGTTTAGAGAGAAATGCTAGCAATTTATCAACGATCTACTATTTACTGTTAGCAAAATGTAAATGCAAGAAATATTTCAATATTGTAAATGTGAATTTAGTAAAAATACAGTTTATTTTTGATACCTATCTGTTTGTTCTCCCGATCAAGTATTCATTAATTTGGAGTAGTGATATATATTGCAAATCCTAACTGACATCTTAAGCAAGCTATGTAATTTTGTTTCCATGTAAATGAGACTTTCTGTAAATTCTAACATTCGATATAATAAACAACAGAAATCTTTGAAAGTACTCATATATTAAAGTTATGTTTCTATCTGGGAATTAGTTAAGATTACATTATGATTGGATGCACTGAATGAATTTTTCCATAAAATATCAAGCAGTTATCTTTGATGCGGCCATAACATAGTGATTTACTAATAAAATATGAGAATATTTTCAGTAGCGATCAGGTAATCGGGAGGCTACTGAAGATAACAAAGCCTCGAAGATTAAATATTTACAAACAGGATTGTCAGTATAGACCGATTTAGGTCCTATAGATTAGTGCTAACGCGATTACTTTTATTCAAACACGCAATGATTAATTCACCTTGTATTGGATATTTAAAGAGATGGATCAATTGCGGTCATAAACGTAAATGAGAAGATTCAAATAATCAATACAAGATAAACTAAACTTCAATTCATTTCACATGCTAGCGCCTATTCCGACTAAGTAACTAAATGACAATGTGATGGCTCTTGAAGCGAACTGTACTGGGTTCGAACCTCGGATTGAACATGAACTAGTGGATGCAGGCACACATAGCTGACGAGCCGCAAAGGGGACGAAACGTGCATCTTGGAATCCACTACCAGCCACTATACATCTCTACTTATTATGTAATGAATGTGTCCAAAACTAGCAGAAAAGGTTTACAAATAAAGACTTTGTCTCGATGGACGGAATAGCAATGAAGATTTGGATTTGGAATGATTTAATTTCTCAAGAGATTAGTCATATCAATCAATAATTTCTATAATAGAGTAGCAGATTTTTTAAATACTTGAACTATGAAATTCTGCATTGTTGACGCGTTTCTAAATTATATTAAGTATGGACATTTTAAAAATCATAATTTCTGAACGATGCAATGAGATAATCACAAAAGCTTTTTCAAGAATATTATACTATGAATATTAAAACTAGTAGTATATTAAAAACTGCTGTTAAGTGTGGTGAATTATAAATCTTGATGTTTCTTGTTACATACAAATGTATCATACAATTAAAGAAAGTTTAATTTTGTCAGACAAAACAATGGGATTCAGTAAGTATCTGAGACTTTCCTGGGTTAATTCGTGGTGTCCTTACTGAGGTCCAAACACAGTACTTACTGGTTCGAACGTCGAAGAGTTGTCAACCAACAATTTAGTCTAGATGAGCACAAACCTATTCCCAGTGTATGGAGCGAAACATGAAATTGCTTGTTTTCTTGTTATTTTTATCACAAACTATAAATCGATCTGACCAAACTCTCTTGATATTTTATTTTAATAACTTGTTTTAAGTATATGAGTTGTAACAGCAATTGAATCAAGAACTCATCACTTGGATATACCTATATTGTGGCATTTATATGCATTCTGATATTCGAATACATCTCTGTCTTAACTGCGTAAGAATCAAGCTTAAATAATTTCCCAGTTAATTTGAATGTTGGTATAAAATTTATTATGTCGTTAAAATGGAAACTGAATACATAATAGAATCTAAGGCTTTTCATTTTGGCTAGGAACTTGTTTTCATATTAGAGAATGATACACCATTTAGCATGCTTTACGAATATATTTTATCAACTCCACTACAATCTATCATAACACATTAAAAGTAACTTTGTGACCTGGAGCTTAAATAATTTAATCTTATCATCGTCATTTTATTACAATGAATCATGCATCAACAAAAATCTGTTAACATTTTAGGCCAAATGTTATCTGTAAAGTAATACATCTTAATTGATGTTAGATATGAGTATCCCAAAAATGTATGTTTTCATCATAAGTAGTGAGTTAAGCAAACAAATGGTTGGATGAAAATGGATCTTATCAACCCTTTTTCATAACTACACTTATTCAGAATATTCTTAAATGGTTTCCTAAAGGTGTATGAAACCACGTAATATAATCAATGACTGAGTCTTGAGGTTCAATAATAATCAATTTGTAATTCAACTTATCCATTTTTTATGGTGTTAGTTATACATAAGTGTAACAGAATTGTAGATAGGAGACTCAAATAGTGATCAGTCATACCTAAAATCATTACAAAAACATTGCTGAACTAATCAAGCTTGAACTGAATTATTTTCATACTAGATCAATCAGCGAAAGTACAACGTAGTAAACGTCTTACTCTACAGTATTCACTGATGGCTAAATTTTGTCAGTCACATAATGTACATACAAATTCAAATAACTTCAAAGTATTTTACAAAATCTATTTGCATTTTAAAGCAACAACATAATTCTATGAAACTATATGTTGACGACATGTAGCTAGTTGTCATATCGGTGTGTTATAACATCTTTACCCTAATCTGAATGCATTGGTTTCTTTTATTCAATTGAACTGTGAGCACCAATTCGGAAGGAAGAAAAAATATTTGAGAGATTTTGTTCATCAACAATAAACGTCAATATATTCAAACAATATTAGTACTTTAGAAAGTTATTCATGAGATTTAATGATTTACAGAGTTTGAAATATAATGTGAATCATCAATCAAGAAGTTAATCTTGGTTATGACCATATGTAACTCTTTTCAACTGTGAGGTTACTTTTACAATATCATATAGCTGGATTGATATTAGTTAGATGTAGAATTGAATTGACTATCATTGATCTATTAAGCCATCTGATTATTTTTCTTTAGGATTGAAAAGAAAAAATTCTGATTTTAAGCATAAGACAAACAAAGCTTAACAATGAAGTGTACGGAACGTAATTAAGGTAAATACTAGTTGGTGGATAAGGATTTGATTCAAACAAAGTTAGACAGACAATAAAGATTAATATGATTTTGTGGTGCCATAAGAGTCTCTTTACTTCTATTGTTCTTATAAATTAACATGTGATAAACGTTCAAATGGCTACAGTGTTCCAATTATTTGTCTTTATATCTTTAACTGCGTTCAGTTTAATATCACACGTATAACAAACGCAATCAAAAAAGACATAGTGGTTGTTTGTTTTTTAATGGTTGAATTTATGAGTCGATTGAAGCTAGACTACCATGAAAGACCTAAAAGCATTGGACAGTCGTTTCGTCCAATTATGAGACTGCTCACCAGTGCGCATCCACGATCTGGCACGCGGGACCGGAACTAAGTATCTTCGGCCCCGCACGCGAATGCTTATCCTCTAGACCAGTGAGTAAGAATCCAACGGCGTTAATGTCTAACTCCAACCAATCCATCACTGTCTTCAGTGAGTAATTGACTTTACAGCAGACACGGTTGACCTCCACTTAGGAGTCCCATAATAGGACGAAACGGCCGTTCATTGCTTCCAGGTTTCCCATGATGGTCTAGTTTCAATCGACTCATGAGTCCATCTATTAAAAATTATTACAATATCCACAAACCCCCATTGTGATAATATTTTTTAATACATGAAATAAATTTACCAGGCTTATACCTGAATCTTGTTTGTTAATAAATAAATAAAAATCACCAGAAATTTTGATATTTTACCGTATTTTTTTAAATGTAAGACTGTGATACTGATGGTTTCAGCTGAAAACAATTACTTGAAAATCAATTAATCGTTTTCAACCTAACGATCTTAAGCTTATAAATTATAATTTATATTTCACGTCGAACTGAAAATAATATACTCAATTTCAAGACATCCTATCTACTCTAGGTTATATGTAATAGTATCATCAAAGATGTATTTTACAGATAAAGGAGCTATTGAGATCATCTTAACAAAGTAAATAGAAATATATTGAATACACTTTGTTTAAGAAATAACAATACATTCATCTTTCTAAGCATCTAAATGCAATAATAATGATTCATATGGTACGTTTATTACCTGTTTTTTTTGTTTATTGATTTCACCTATCCAAACTTACTTGTGACTTACCTACTGAGAAAATAGTGACTATCAACTCTTAGGTTCTATGCTATATCTATTGTTCATCATTTTAAACTCACTGTTTAAAGTATCAAATGTAAAAAATGTATGGATAATGTCTATCGAAATAGTGTACCTTTGCATTTTTGGATGTTACAGTATATTAATGTAATGTTAATGAATCCTGTAATTGTTATATCTAGGACTTGGATTCTTTGATATACCACGTACAACTTGAGCACTCAAATGCTAGAACCCTTCAAGTCGCAAATGAGAAGACAGAAGACGAGTGAGAAGGTATGCTATTGTAAATAGCGTCAAAAATGATACAAAACTCTCAGGTATTTATAGTTTTTAGTAAAAGCGAAATCATCATTATATTCATCGAATCCACAGTGGTTTTTACTATTTGTCCAATAGGGAAGCTACACTTAGAGATTCTGGAATATTCTTACAAAAGATTATTGGATGGAATATCTTCGGTTCTTTCTGAGCTTCTTCGAGCTTCCTCAAGATCATTTGTGGACCATCCTTACAATAATAAAAGAAAACAGCTTT